CCGCCGCCCCCGGCCCCTCCGCAGCGCCGCGGGCTGATCCCGGCCCGCCCGGGGCTCCCGCCCCGCCCCCGCCCCGCCCCGGCACCGGGAGGGGCCTCGGCACCAGCGGGCACCGGCCGCCGCCCGCGGGCAGGGCGCTCGGTCCCGGGGGCGCACAGAGTTGGTGGCGCCGGGACCTGCTCGGCACCGGACCCGCCGGACCGGGAAGCACTGGGACTCCCCTGGCCCCAGGGAGGGCTCAGCCCCCGCCCTCCTGGGCCCACGGACGCTGAGGAAGGGGCAGGACCGGCCGCGCCTCCGTTCACCCCAGTCCTGGTCCTGCACCCACTGGTGCCCGGTGCAGGCGCCACAGGTGAGCCCAGTCCGGGCACCGCGGAGGAAGGCACTTGCCTCGGCAGCTGACCCGGCGCTGAGCCCTGCTCTCCTGACCCCTGCTCTCCTGACCCCTCCCCAGAGAGACGACAGAGCCGGGTGACATCAGGCTACCGTTTATTGTAAAAGGCCGCGGTGCCCTGGGCAGGCTGAGCCAGGGAGGAGGTATCTAAAAGTGCTATTTACACCGAGCTCCGGGTGCGTGTCCCAGGATTCCATCCCCCCCCAGGGATCCCCTCTCTGCCCCCACTGCCCCCACCCTGCTCAGTAAAAGCTCCTTGCTGCTCCCTGGGCCTGGCTAATGCTCAGGTCCTTCCCTGAGTGTCCCTGGCACTCCCTGGGGCCGGCAGGGCTGGTGTCAGCACCCTGCGGTGCTGGCGTTGGCTGGGTGTCCACGCCTGCAGGGCAGCTCGATGTGTCATGGCAGGCGGTGCCAGGGTGCTCCCCACGCTTGCCCATGGTGAGGATGCCCGCGGCGTGGTTGCCAGAGCCATGGAGCAGGCGGTAGAGCCGGCTCTGGAAGGCCAGGGGGACACTCTTCCTCTTGCCCAGAGTGAGGATACCAGCAGCGTGGTTGCCCATGCCGTGCAGGAGGTCGTAGACACGGCAGGAGCAGGTCTTCTGCCGGCAGCAGTCGGGCAGGCTCTGCCGGGGAGCGGCCAGGGAGCAGAGAAGGAGCAGGAGCAGGAGGCAGGAAGCTCGCTGGAGCTGCCAAAGCAATGGGCAGCATTAGTACAGGGCAGTGACAGTGCAGAGAGGGGGAGAGTGCACAGCCCCAGGGCTGCCCCCCTGTTCTGCCTTGCCCACTGGTGTCTCAACTGTCCCCTGCCCAGTTGCTGCCACAGGGGCCCAGCCCCCCACCCGAGGTGCACTCAGTGTCACCCTTTGGTGCCCCGAGGCATGGCCAACACCTCCAGCTGTGCTCTGACTAGCAGCCAGATGTGGGTGCCCTCACCACACCCCTTCCCTGCTCCAGCACACGGCAGCCATGGCAAACACCCTCCCCTTGCTGCCCAGTGCCACGGGATGAGCAGTGAGAGTACCCAAGCTCAACGCCACAGGCACTGTGCACTCAGATCCCTCATAAGAAACCCCTTGATCAGCTGCTGGCTGCAGTTGGGGAGCCCTGGGGATTTACCACACACTTGGAGCTTCCCAAGGAATTGGTCAGGCCCTCCTGCACCCCCCAGTCCCACATTCTGACCTCCCTCCCATCACTGCCCTCCTCTACCCCCGGGGCTGCAGTGCCCCAGCCCCACCTTGGTGTTTGGCACCTCCATCCTTCCTGGGGTCTTCAGGCAGCCGAGTGGCTCTGGGGCATGTCCCACTGGGCAGCTGAGAGCACAGTGCCCTGTGCTGCTGCTTTATAGGGCCCAGCACAATAGTGCTGCCAAAAATACCACTGGGGCAGCGGGAGCAGACGGTCTCTGGGAGACACGGGTGCGCTGGGGCCGGTAGCCCGGAGACCATCCAGGCCTTTCCCCTCATTTGCAGTTCCTCATTGTGTAGGTGCTCAGTGGCTGGGGTGCCAGGCACTAATGAGGCCCTAATTGCCCACAGGCCCTGTGGCCGGGCTGGCACAAAGGGGCTGGAGGTCAATACTGACCGGCACCGGCAGCACAGTGCTCCAGGCTGATGCTCGGAGCCCCATTAGGCTAATTATCCCCCCGAACAAAGGGGTGCTGGCAGCAGCACAGCTCCCTGACGTGGGGAGTTGTCATCCTGTGCTCCCCATGGTGCCAGGGAGGGATGGTGCCATCAGGGTCCCATACCCGGTGCCACCCTCCATCCCCTTCGGTGACCCCATCCTGCCCTGGCCCTGTGCCAGGTACAGAGGGAGCCACAGGGCACCAGGAAGGTTCTTCCACTCTTTATAATGCTCCACAGCCCCAGTCCAACCCCAGACCACCCTCCTCTGTTTGTGCTGGGACCCCCTTGCCCTGGGGGACAAATCCCAACATTTTCCTGATGCCAGAACCCACATCTGCTGTCCACTGGCATTCTGGCCCCACAGCTGCTGCACCACATAGCCTCCCATCCCCTCTGCACAGTGGGGTGCTGCCCCAGGGGTGCTACAGAGGTGACAGGACTAGCCAGGATTCTTCCTACCAGCCAGATTTTTCCCCAAGGCTGGCAACAGCCAAACCTGCAGCCCTGGGGAGGGAGGGCAGGAGCCCAAACCTGGGGCTGCTTTTCCAAGCAGAATCTGGCACAGCAGGCTACACGCACACGGGCACCAGAGTACCAGCATCCTCACCAGCCCTGCAGCGGAGTGCAGGCTCTGGAAGCAGATGGGAGGGATGGATGAGTCCCTTAGGAGCTCAGGGGGGGCAAGCAGGAGTAGGATCACCCCTCTTCAACCTCTCCACTGAGCCCTGATGCAGCCCCTTAACACGGCAGAGCACAGGCTCCAGATGTGTCCCCCCAGGCAGTCTGAGCCTGCAAGCAGCTGCCTGTCCATGGGCAGGCTGGGACTCCTGCTCCTGTGGCTGGGGATGCTCAGTCTGGGCCCCTGAGCCCCAGGCCAGGGTCAGCAGGACGCTGTGTCACCGCCTCCGTCGGTCTCGGGGATGGGCTCCAGTGGGGCACGCAGCCGGGAGAGCTCTGGTGAGGCCGAGCCATTCCTGCCAATGCCACAGGACTGTCCTGCATTGTGGATCTGCCACAGGTTGTCCAGTGCCTCTGCCTTGGCGTGCTTGAGGAGGTCAGCCTGGCCCTGTGGGGAGGGGGCATCGAGGGGGTGTTAGAGTGAAGGCATCAGGGTGAGGTGTCAGGGCAGGACAGGTGTGTCTGTGCAGCTCTCAGCCCTCACCTTGAGGACAGTGATGTTCCAGGCAAAACTCTCCAGCGCCTTCTGCAGTTTGCGGCCCCGCAGCCCCTCCTTGGTCTCGATGCGGTGCAGCTCCTTGTGGAAATCCATCCCTGCACAGGTGGGAGTGGTGCTCAGTAAGTGCAGGGATGCTGGCATGGGGATGGCCACCACCAGTTGGGACCAAGCCAGAGGGACGCCCTTTGCCCACCATGGGGGTGCAGGCTGGGTGGGTTTCCCACTGCCCCAGCAGCCCCAAAACCCTTCTGTGCCAAGTACAATGAGCCAGCAGAGCCCCGAGCACACTGGCACCCTGCTTGGCCCCAGCCCGTGGTGGTTTTGGGCCCTGGGCAGAGGTACAGCTCTTGCACCCCATGGCTCACCCAGGGGGGCTCAGAGCAGGCCCACCAGGCCCCCCCATTGGAGTGCAGCCCCGGCACTGTGCACCACGTGACATCCTCGTGAGCAGGTGCTATATTTACCCTTCCTGACGCAGCACCGGCTCCGGGCCCACTCGAGGGCTCCCACGCAGCCTACTCGCCCACATGCTGCCAATCAGACGCCCCCAGCCCTGCACCCCCACCGCAGCCGCACCTCCCCAGACCCCCCAACACCCACTGTCTGGGTACTGGCCATGCCAGCACCACAATGGCTTGTCCACAGCCCAACCTAGGCGAAAGCAGGGAGAGGTAGCACCAGGGCATGGGGGTGGGGGCTGCAGCCCCAAAACCGCTGCTCGCCACCACCCTGAGAAGCCACACACCCCAGGACTCTCTGCCCTGCAACACCCCAGCACAGCAGCTGGAGCAGTAGAGGAGGGCACAGAGCCTGTGCTCCGCAGCCCATGCCCCACTGCTCCACTCCCTCAGCGCTGGCAGAGGTGCTGGAGCCGAAAGCCAAGAGCTCGGGGAGGTTTCCGTCTGCCGCGTAGGCAGGGAACAAACAGGGCTGCTGGCAGCATGGCTGGCATGAGGGGATGGCAGAGCGGGGCCCCCTCCTTCCTCCCCTGTCTTTCCAGCTCCTGAAGCTCTCCCAGCCCCATGGGGAGCCCACACGAGCCCCTGGGCCAGCACCCCCCTATATAGGTACTTGGGGCTGGTGGAGCTATCCCTGCAGGTCCCAGCCCACAGAGGGGCCACGCAGCCACCAGGGCCTGGAGCGAAGCTGGGGGTCCCAGCCAGCTGCTGTGGTAGGAGCAGCCCGGGGGGAGGACTGGGGCAGGCAGCAGCAGCACCTGCCTGTGTGGGTTCTGCCATGTGTCTGGGAAGTCGTAACACTCAGTTACCACTTCTACCGTCAGCCCCAGCCTGTTATTTCTGGCACTAATTATGTTCTGGCATTTGGCAGCTAATGACTCTTCCCCGCTTCCTCATCAGCCTCCCCTGCTCTGCTCGTTCCCTCTCACACAGCCCTGCAGCCCACCCACCCACACCCTGTCCCGGCGCAGGAGGGCCCACACCCCAGTACCCCAGGACGTGCCCAGGTTTGTGGCCAGAGCCACATCGGGGCTGGGGCTGCCCTCAGGGACCCACCTGCCTGCTGTGCCTGGATGAGCTTCCCGTACACCACGTCGGCAGATTCGATCAGCGTCCGGCTGGTCTGGATCATCTGGGGAGAGGGGCAGCATGAGGAGCTGGGCAGCCCTGGCCCCGCACCCCCCAGTTGAGTGGATGGGGAGATGGGGCTTGTCAGGGGGCTTGTCAGCATCTGGCTGGTGGCCAGGTTCTCTTCAACACAAAGGAAGGAAGCAGCTCTGGCTGCAGCTATTAATGGGATTTCTCCCACCTGGCAGGACAAGGGCAAGGGGCAGGCAGTGCAAGCGGAGGAACAGGGGCTGCGGGGTCCCAGGGTCGTACTGACCTGGGCAAGCCTGTGCCTCAGCAAGACTCCTCCCTGGGCAGCCCCTACACAGCCCCCCGCCCGCCTCTCCCTGCTACAAGATGGGTGCAGCAAGTTCAGGATCCCCTGTCCTGGGCAGATCCCGGTGCCACCGACCCCACAGAGCCGAGTCCTGGCAGAATGGCACTTACTGTCTCGTAGGCAGTGAGGACCTTGCGCAGCAAGTCGGGGATGGGGCCCTGGGCCTCCATGGGGGGGTACTGCTCTGCCAGGTTGAGGGTGACGCTGGGTGTGCTGTCATTGTGCAGCAGCCACGTGGACACTGTCAGGATGCACTGCTTCATGTTGGCGGCGGGTGTCAGCCCACACAGCTCCTTGAAGGACACCAGTGCATTCTGCGGGCAGAGACCGGCGTCAGTGGCTCCCCACCCAGGAAGATCCCTGTTTCCCCTGGCTCTCTGCTCCTTGCTCACGTCCTCCCAGAAGAGGAGGACACCCAGGCCCCATCCTCCCCCACAGAAACCAGGTCCCCCAGTGCCTCTGCAGGGTCTGTACCTGCACATTCTCCCGCAGGTCGGTGGCCTCCCTCAGCGGCTGCGTGGCCGTCCGGAAGACCTCGTCGATGGCTTTGATGCCGGTGGCCTTGGTGGAGGTGTACTCCCGCACTCGGCGGCCCCGGCGCCCCGCCAGCCCCCGGCGGTGCCCCTTGCCCCCACCACGGCGGTCAGTGATGGCCACATGCACAAAGAGGGTGGCGTGGGGCAGGGGCTCCCCAGCTAGCGACTGGAGGGGGACGTGGCGGTAGCCAGGCTGCAGGCACTCAAAGGGAATGGTGTACTGGGCAATGAACTCATCCCCAATGTAGTCATCGTCCAGCACGACAAAGCGCAGGACGGCCAGCTCGGGCAGGTTGATCTGGAACTCCAGGCTCTCGTCAAAGATGGGGTTGTCCCCGCTCTGCAGGGCTGTCTTGGTGCGGTGCTCAGCACAGTCAGCTGGGATGCCGTGGATTTCAGCACAGACGTAGGGCTCCACCACCTCCCCTTTGGCCCCTGAGCCCTTGGGCTTGGGCAGGTTCTGCCCGCTGATGACCTTGAGGTGCAGGAGCTGGGCGGGCACCCCAGGCAGGGAGTCCTTGGCATTGGCACTGAAGTAGGAGACCTCCTCCCGCATGATGGCTGGGCGGAGGACATAGCCACAGGCCCCGTTCTGCCGGAACCAGCCCGCATTCAGGTCCATCATGAGCCCCGGTGTCTGGTAGTTCATGGCCACCATCTGGCACCCACACTTCCAGAAGTCCTGGGGGTTCATGTTGCTGGCGTCGATGCGCATGGGGCTGGGGTAGACGCGGGAGAGGAACCGCTTGTTGTAGCTGACCAGCTCAGCCGGGCACTCGTTGGCAAAGCGTCCTGCTTCCACCTCACTGAAGGAGCACATCTCCCAGTAGCGCTGCCCACGCCGTGAGCTCTCAAAGTCCTGGAAGGGGACAGCCTGGCAGAGGCTCACCAGCTCTGAGAGCTCCCGGCTGAGGCGCACCCGCCGCGGGCCACCTCCCTCCGGTGCCTCCCGGTCCTCCTGGCCCAGCCGCCGTGCCAGCTCCCAGCCTTCCTCCTCATCTGACACCTCCCCCTCGCTGTCCTCACAGCTGGGTGGCAGCTTCTTGCCCTTGATGAGGATGCGGCCCTTGAGCTGCTCT